GTCGGTACATACCAATAAGCCCATCATATTTATTACCGAAGTATAATCAATCATATCATGTGAATTATTTTGTATATTTTCCTATTTTTATAAGATGCTTGCAAGGATGGTACGACGCAGTATGTTATGGATGATGAATGGAAATCAAAGGATTGCAAAGATTGTAAATGTCACGGCATATACTCAATCTGTTGCTCATTGTAAGTTTATATTAATATCTATTTATATATTAACTCATATATTTAACATTTCAATTCTATAATATTTGTGGCTGAAGGACATAGGATGAGTTTAATATATTTATTTGTAATAATTGTTTTAAATATTTTTGACCTCCTACTAGAGTCATTCTGGTTTAAATATAGAGCCTGGGAAAAACAGTAATTTATCATGAATTATAATCAAAACAGAATGATTAATTGATAAACGATTGCTTGATTGAACGATTGAATTATTAAACGATGCATTGGTTGATAGATTTAATTTGTTTTAATCATGTATTTGTTTTACTATAATGTTTAAAAACAGTTGCGAGGTGAAGTTGTAATCTGTGTACACATAACGCTAGGCCTACCTTAAGGAAAAAAACAACACAGAGGCGTACATACGAGGTGCCCTAGCAGTCGCCCAACCCCCTAGCCACTGGGATTTTTGAAGCAAAAAATTAGCTCGACCAAGTAGTAAAAAACCGCCTCACGACTTTATTTTGGACGCTACCACCAATCACTTAATCATCGATCCCTTTCCTTCACCTTCGCGCCCTCCAAATCAACACCCCCCCCCCCCCCCCCTCTGCTTTCATACTCATAGATACGCCACTGAAAATATGAAACCAATATACTGATTATGAGGAATAATAATAATGAACCATAGTGTCGTTAAGTAACACAAAAAGAAGGCACGCATAAATAGTAAAAATGTAATTTAAAGAAGACTCATTTTTTGTTCTGCTTCTGTTTATTTACACTTTAATTCTAATTTTGATATGTTTTAATTTTGGCAGATTGCACAGGTCTGTAATATCTGATATGTTTGTTTACTTATTTCATAGGCAACCAAAATATTTCGATTGGTTTGAACCACCAAAAGGCTGCCGATACATTTGGGATGAGGCTGCGTGTGAAAGCAAGGTCGTTGATGAGTTTGACGACAACAAACCGTGTCCCGAAGACTATTAATTATAAATGTATGCAAACTGACAATTAGTGATCACACAAAACTTCATTTGGTCGGACAATATTTTCCACATCTTAAACAATCGTGACTGTTGTGACGAAAGACTAATTATATAACAGTTGATGAATTAGTGAGAGATGACGTAATGTCATCTAGTAAATACTAAAGTTGGTTCAAAGGTCAAATACTTATCACTTAAAACCAAAAATAAAAAGAAACAAGCAAACAGAAGGTTGAATGCCTAATTGTATCTCAGTTTGGTAAATGTGTATATTTTTTCTCAAATAGTATTTTTCAATAGCTTATTAATCACATATCTTTTCTTTGTAAATGTATTAAATTAGAAAGATATGTGAATAAATTATTAGAATAAAAGTCTCATTGAGAAAAAATAAGCATTTGTTTTTTGTCATTTAGGTTGTAATTTTGCCAGATTTATCTTCTTCCTTTGACCGTATCCACAAATCCGATATCCTTTTATATTTTTCTGCGGGACTGACGGGGGAGGGGGGTGTGGGGCTTGGTCCCTCGCTGGATTCGCCCCTGATGTATCATCCACAGCTGAATTCATTCCCTTATTCCACTTTGCAAGGTCTTTGGCATTGCACTCTTGCTCAAGCAGAGGAAATCTCAGCAGGTTTTGCATGCTGTCGCATGCAATGCAATATGTAGTCAATACCCAACCATGGTGTGGCTGAGGGTGAGCAAATTTTAAGAATAGGCACCTCTAGACGCTTGGAAATGGCATTCTCAGATGGCAGCTATTCTCTCCCCGACGGGGCTACGCTCACCCTCCCTTTTAGACCCCTCCCCTCAAGGGCGTCGCAAAGGTCTAATCAAGGACCTATATAGTCTATTATATACTGGAAGTCGCAAAACAAAATTAAGATTATGGCATATCTAGACGCCCAGAATATTTTATCTCCATTTCCAAAATTAGTGAATGGTAAAATAATCGAGCTCTTCTTTCACCTACTGCTGGATCCGCCATTGAACACATGGGTAAACTTCCTTTTCCTCTATTTCCTCCCTTTAACTCTCCCAGTTTTTTATCCTTTTATATTTTTCTGCGGGACTGACGGGGGAGGGGGGTGTGGGGCTTGGTCCCTCGCTGGATTCGCCCCTGATGTATCATCCACAGCTGAATTCATTCCCTTATTCCACTTTGCAAGGTCTTTGGCATTGCACTCTTGCTCAAGCAGAGGAAATCTCAGCAGGTTTTGCATGCTGTCCAGTTCCATAATGTGCCTACAGCTATCTTCAGAGTCAATGTATCTCCATAGCGTATCTCTTCGCGCGTTTTTTATATTGTTTTCTTTCTCAGGAGTGGCGCAAGCGATTTTTAAAACTATTTTGACAATAAATCTTTCGATTTTTTTTTATGTTCTCAGAGGGCATCTTTGAAGAGCCAGCTATTGGCTGGACTGATCATAATAGTAAGCATTTTTTTATGATCAAAAAAGAAACATTGATAGTTGCTGAATTGGTGTTTTTTATTTACCGGATTAACCATTGAACAATGTCAACAATTATCTTGTATATTAGTTTTATATACTAGGACTAAGCTAAATAAAATTAAATGGACCACACCTGACATCATTAGACTTATGTATGACCGTGATCATAAAAATAACTTACCCGATAAACATGGCAGCCAAACACCTTTTAATAAATATCCTTCACTTTAACAAATGCACGAATAAAATTCGAATATCCAAATCAGCAGTGATGTTTTATCAGTTAAAAACCAATATAAACACGATCCCGAACGTTTGGGATTTACCTATTTTCAAATTCTTTATTGTGAGCATTTTAGCGATTATTTGAGTAGCCAAACATAAGAACAGAAAACTCAATCAAAGAAGACAAAACAGAATAAAAAACCCAAATTGTATTGGTAAGTATAATGGGCCTACTCCAAGTAAATCCACGCCATCGTGTTAGGATTCAATATTTCGCGTTAACTATATGATAATCAGGAATATGAATGTATTCACACACTAAGATTTAAGGGATTTGTATCTGGCGATTTTGAAAACAATCTGGTATGTTTATATGAAAATAGTAACCTCGATGTCAATAATTTTGATACTCGGCTATAGAAATTAGACTCGCATCACGCTATATCGCGAAATCTGTTTCTATGTTCCATCATACATAAAAGTCATTAATGAATGGTATGGTTCCAAACGATTGGAAAGTCTCAATGACTACCCTATATACAAAGTAAAGGTAACAAAGAAAGCCCTAATAAATAGACCAATCTCAGTGGTATGCCACATAGTTAAAATTGTTGAAAAGCAAGTCCAAGATCAATTTATTACATAGGAGTCTATTTCAATGAAAATAACCGCATAAATGTTTATCAATCCTTCACCGTATAATAAATGATTGGCTAGAATTCAATATCAACGCGAAATGATAGCCACGTGCTTTATCGATATTGCACAGTGTTTTGACGCAATGAATTATACTACAAGAACAAATTTAAAAGTTATTGTGGTTCCAGAATTACTTGGCTGGAAGGAAGCAAATAGGTATATGTCACAATAAGGAAGCGGGCGCTTATTGATCGGGGGAACCTGGAGCCGGGAGGGGGAGGGGACAGGTTCGATGAACCTGCTGAACCTGCGATAGTTACGCCGCTGCTTCAGACTCAAGGTATCCCCATAGCGATATCAACGGGTCTTTGATATTGTATTCTTGCTCTAGCAGAGTTATCTCAGTAGGTGTTCCATAATTTGTGTATGCGTAACGTCTTCAAAGTCACGGTACCCCCATAGCACTATCATCTATCCTCCGCGACGCCTTTGGCATTGCGTTCTTGCTCCATGGTTTGCGATTCAACTGCATGTACAGGTGACATCTTCAGATGCAAGATAGGCCTATCCGCGTTTCTCGCAGGGGTGGCGTCAGGATTTGCCCGACGGGGGGGGGGGGCGAGGTCCCCGACGAGGGGGCCGATGCTCCGACGAGGGATCAGATTTCCCCGACGGGCGTGGTCGAGCTTCGATTAAAAGGCTTCGAAAGTGGTCCTGGAGGCGAAGCCCCCGAAAATTGTGACAATTTAGGGGTTTCAAAGGCTTTTAATCAATTTTATAATCTACTAATATGTACAAAATACATATACAGTAATTTTCTTTTCTCCCCGACGAATTGTGCTTTTTCTCCCCGACGGGGGCCACAGCTGTCCCCAACGGGGGGGAGGGGGCCCACCCGCTGGCGCCACCCCTGGTTTCTCGAGGTTCATTTAAGAGAGGAAAGCGTCAGTGCCTGATCTCAGTCAGTTGAGTGACTTCCATTCAGAGCCCTGTTTGATTCAGCATCAAGAAAAACTTCATCTTTGGCAGTTAGCCTATATGTTTTATTAGGAACACGCCTCTCTTGCGTTGCGTTCATATACCAATATATGGGACTCTGGGAGCTTTCAATCATTTGATACCTCCTGGTTCAATCTAATTGCTGCTCTCCTTGTGTGTAAGCTTGAGGGCTGAATTAAAAAAGTTAAAACAGACCATTTTAGCCGTTGGTCTCGTGTGCAATCCTCTGTGCGCAGTACAAAGATCGTTGGATTTTCATTCGGTGTACTGTAAAATTTAAGACCGGAAAGACACTGGAAATAATCTTCAAGCTTTCGCTGGTTCATCATTGGTGTTTAAGAATTTCGCTCGAAAAAATCCAGAGCCCAGTTCTATCCTTGGTACGCTGCAGACATGAGATGAAATAATATGAGGTTAAAATTAACATGAATAGCACTTAGATAACACACGCCTTTGTTGCTGCGAAGCAGCCAATTCATATTCTTGACAGCAATTTGACCTCTGAAAGGTCATTGTTTGTCAAAAAACAATGGCCTAAGACGATTGAAAAGCGGAGTTTCCTTCTTTCGTTCTGCCGGGTAAAATCAATTACTTTAGGCGATGTTTGTAGACTAACCTACTCGTACCAACGTCCGCATGTCGCGCACTCTAGGCCTAGACTAGCTAGTGGTATTAGGCCTAGCCTTGAAGGGTCGAAGATCCCAATGAAAAACAACGTCGCTCTTTGACAGCTAACATTGTCTATTTAACATCACAATAATTCATTATTAGACCTCTAGTTGTTTTTTTGAATTGTAGGCCTACTCCACAAATCTCAGCCGATACCTCGCACAACTCGTTAACGTCTCTATCTATTGTCGTGACGTCATGGCTCGCTGGCTCACACTTGCGATGTCTCGCACTTGTGATCAAATAACACGCTGGCTCGCACTTTGGCAACACTCTTTGACAGTCAACTCGCCCCTAGAAAACCCGCCCTTGGAAACTTGCCCCATAAAAAAAATGTACACTTCCTAGACCATGCAGTCTTCAAAATAAAAATTGTAACCTTTAGTAATCAACTACATTTTCCACATACATAGAAATTTTTGAAAATTTTGTATTAAAAAAAACCTA